AACCCCGGGCCCCCAGGGTGGGGCTAGATGGGATGAGCCCCCTTCTCTGGGGAGGGGGACAGTCCTGGCCTTGCAGAGGCAGAACTTGGCTGGGGAGGGGGGTGGCCTGGGCTGGGGGTGGGAGGAGGTGGAAGGGAGACTTTGGGTCCTCTGGGATGGCATCTGGCTGTGTCGGCCCTGGGGGGGCTGAGATCAAGGCCCCCGCCCGAGCTGTGTGTGGTGGGTGCGGGATGGGAGACAGGTCCCACTGGGGATCAAAACAGCTACACCCCCACACAGGGTCAGTTCTGGGGGGCTCTGGGTGGGTGCTGGCTCCGGGTAGCAAAGGTGGTCTTCCTTTTGGGGTGTGCTGGCTCATCCCAAACATCCAACATCTCCTACGGGGCTGCCGAGCTTCCCCGAGTACGGGGCACTTCAGAGTCTTGTGCTCACATTCTGGGGGGCTCTGGGTGGGTGCTGGCTCCGGGTAGCAAAGGTGGTCTTCCTTTTGGGGTGTGCTGGCTCATCCCAAACATCCAACATCTCCTACGGGGCTGCCGAGCTTCCCCAAGTACGGGGCACTTCAGAGCCTTGTGCTTACGGACCCTCTTTGGTCTGAGGGTCTCAAAGCACTTGCAGAGGGTGGATAAATGCTGTTGCCCCAGCTTCGTTGCTGGAGAGACCGAAAACAGGGTGGTCAAGGGAAAAATAACTCGGAGCCAAGAAGAGGTCCCTGGAGTCAAGATGGGATTGTTCCCACAGAAGGCTCTGCTGTCTGCTTTTACCATTAGGGCAGGACTTGCTCTACAAAGGTGTTTGCTGCCGCGGTTAGAGGAAGGGCAGCGATTGTCCCTGCCTGCTGTGAGGGACCTGGAGCTTTGCTCTGCGTTTTTGGGGCCCAGCAGCCCCGGGGAGGGAGCTGAAGCTGAGCTGGGGGGTCTAGTCCCGGCGAGGGCTGGGACACGTTGACAGGATGGGAAGGAGGAGAGAACTCGGTGAGGTCGGCTGACTTTACCACGGCTTCCTGCCCTCTGCTTTGCTACCATAGATGGTCACGTCTGCCGCAGCGAGGGCTGGAAGCGGGGCCCATCCACCACCGGGCTCCAGAGCCGAGATCCAGGCTCCATCTGCGGGATCCCAGCCGGGGCAGGAGGGATAAGCCAAAGGAAGGGAGCGGGATCACCCGGGAGCGTGGCTCTGCTGACATCTAGTGAGGTTGTCTCCTCCGGCTTCGTGCTCCCTGCAAACTGGGGAGGTGTTCAAAAACCCTTTGAGGGGTTGATTTTTCCCGGCAGCCAGTGGATAGGAGTGTGTCTCCTTGGTGAAGAGGCAGCTCACCACCATCCCCCCTCCGTGCAGCCCCCCCAGCTCTGAGCCCTGGCAGAAGCACACGGAGCCAAGTGGGTTCTGCACCGCTGCCCTCACACCCTCCTTCCTGCAGATGAAACGAGCAGCTCCCTACAGTCACCAGTGCCATTTGCCAGGTTTTCTGCTTTTCTTGCCTCATTTTCCACCCTGCCAACACCTGATCTGCCTCTTGCAGCTGTCTCCATCATGACCAGATACTTTAGGATCAATTGATGTGATGCAAAATAGAAAATAAAATACAGACTTTTGGTTTTTTTCCCATGCAGCCAGTGACTTACATTTTATGGTATCCTGTGGTGGCCACAGCAGTGAAGGACCAGCCATGAATCCTCTCCACGGGGAAATTTAGATTAGATACCAGAAAGAAATTCTTTGTTGTGAGGGTGGTGAGGCACTGGAACAGGTTGCCCAGAGAAGCTGTGGCTGCCCCATCCCTGGAGGGGTTCAAGGCCAGGTTGGAGGGGGCTTGGAGCAACCTGGTCTGGTGGGAGGTGTCCCTGCCCAGGGCAGGGGGTTGGAACTGGATGATCTTTAAGGTCCCTTCCAACTCTAACCATTCTATGATGCCATGATTCCGTGTCCTGTCCCACTGGTGCGAGGGCAGTGGTGGTCCTGGTGGGCACCATAAGAAAGAGCATCTGTGAGGAGGAAGCGAGACCCTTCCAAATCTAACCATTCTATGATTCCATGTCCTGTCCCACTGGTGCAGCAGTGGTCCTGGTGGGCACCATAAGCAAGAGCATCTGCGAGGAGGAAGTAAGACTGGGGAGGGGAACTAGAAATAACTGGTGACTGGGGAGAGGAAGAGCACTGCTCACTGGGGATATCGACACCCAGCCCCAGGCCGGTGTGTTTGCTTCTGGGGTGGGTCTGTTCAGCTGAGTGTGTGTGCTTCCCAAACGAACAAAGATCAAGTTCCCGGCAAGGCTGGGTCCCAGAAGAGCTGCATGTTTACAGAATGACTGTAAACCAGGTCAGTGCTCTGTGGGGCATCCTGGTGCCCATAAACTGTGCCAGCCTTTTGACCGTCACTGTCCTGTCTCCAGGGAAAGGCTTACAGCCTTCCTGTGCTGCTGCCAGGTGGTTGGTGCCTCATCCCCCTTTCCTCCGAGCGTTGTGGGGATATTTGCTTCCTTTATTTAGCCACGAAAAGGCTAAAATGTTTTTGTGTCCCCTAGACAGCGCCCTTCGGCTTGTTGTAGCTGAAGGAGAGCACTTGTCCCCACTCTGTTGTGGTGTGAGGAGGCCACTTGTCCGAGCTCCAGCCCAGGTCCTTGTGGTGCTCAGCCCCTTCCGACTCCTCCCCAGGGGCTAAGGCTTTCAGAGCTCCTTGAGCCATCTCTGGTTAAGGCTAAGTCCAAGCACTGGCCTGCACACAGCATTTAATTTCCCGGCAAAGCAATCTAAAGATTCATTCATGGAAAAAGGGGTAATTTTTTATTTATTTTGGGTAGCAGCAAACCCTCTCGCTGCCCCATCAGTTTCTGGCCATGTGCTGGCTGCTTACATCCTTGGAAACAGTGGCTTTGCAAAACATTAACTAAAGCCCACCAAAACAGGTCGGTAGCCTTCGGTCTGTATTTGCAGATAAAGTGAGTGACCTGAGCTGGGTGGCACAGACAAGGTGACCCCTGGGGACAGCTGTACCCAGGAATGCCTCTGCGCAGCTGGCCCTGGGTAAACTCTGCCTTCCCCGGCTGGTGGCAGAGCCCAGGCTGGAAAGGGGGTCACTGTGCCAAGGAGGTGGACCTGCTTGCCATGACCTGCTGCCCAGCACCTCCATCCTGAGCACAGCCCTGCTCTGACGGTCCTGCTTCCCCCCTAGAGATTCCCAGGCTGAGCTGTTTTCCACCTGGATCTATTCCCTGATCCAGCCCCCCCTCCCCCAGAGACTGTCAGACACCCTTTTTTGTGGAAACCTGTGCTCGGTTCAGCTTGAAGTGTCCCCTGGGTGATTTCTGCCGCAGCGTGGGGCACACAGGTCCCTCCATCCCAGTGGTGAAGGGAAAACTGTCACCACCAGCAGTGGTTTGGAAGTTTCTTAAGTCTCCTCCTGCTGTGAGATAAACCCGGGGCTCTTTGCCCTTTCCCCGGGGACAAGGAGGGAGGCTATTCCTTGCTCTCTGCAAGGAGCAACTTTTCACACTTCCACTAATCCCCCGTAGGGTAAACAGCCACAGCATGGCCACTCTCACCTTGGGGACTGTCACTCCTGCTGCCCCCGTCTGCCTCATCCAGGAAAGGGGGGGACCCACCTCTTGGCAAAGCCACCTTTGATGACAAACAGAGTCCAATTTCACAGGTTCATGTGCCGCCCTTTGGAGGCCACGACTGATGTTTGCTTGGTTTTGTCACCCCCCAGGACGAGTGCCCTGTGCTTGTGGACTGGCTATGCCCCATCACCTCCCAGCCCCCTTTCCCCCTGGCACATCCAGCCCTCATGGCATGTCACTGGCTCAAAATGCCCCTCTGAGAGCTCTGCAAGAGCAGCAGAGATGCCCACCAGTCCGGACTCAGCCACGAGCACTGGGAGCACTGGCTGCTGGCACCCATCAGGCTTCCCCAGGTCTCAAGGTGAGCCTTGCAGCTTGACCAGAAGCCCTGGCCAGTGTTTGGGGTGCCCTAACATGCTCTGATGAGTGTCAGTGGAGAGAGGGGGGGGTCACAACAGCCTGCCCTCCCCAATGAGTGAGCCCCACGTGCTGCACCTCTGCCAGGCTCTTTTTACGAGCGCCACTGCTCATGTAGTTTGTGGACAAGGTTCTTTCCTTTGTGAATTAAAGGGACCAGACAACCCGCTTCCCTGAGTGGGACAGAAACCCTCTGCTCCCATCCAGCATGGGCAGCAGAGCCCCCCCAAACTCAAGTGGAAGGCTCCCCAACTCCCTGGCACCAGATGTCTTACCCTCACCCCTTAAATCCCCATCAGCTGGGAACAGAGGCTGAATCCCAGCACCCACATAGGGTTTCTGGGCAGCACAGCCCATACGCTCTTACAGGCATCGCCTCAGCAGGTGCCTCATGCACAGCTGACAGCCCCCATTTTCCATGTTCTGGCTCTGATTTCACAGGGCCAGCCCTGCCCCAACCTCAGCCCCGGCACATGGCTCACCCGCCCGGCACCGGGGACACAGCAGGGATGTAACTCCAGCGGGGGGGACACAGCAGGGATGTAACTCCAGCTTGGAAAGGAGGTGCTTCCCAGATGCTCGGGTGCATTTGCTCCCTCACTAAGGTCAGTGGGGATGAAGCCATAGCCCAGCTGCTGCTGGAGGCCAGCATCTCCCCACACAGTTCTGGCTGAGAAGATCTCTCATGCCAGAGAGGCTTTCTTCATGCTTGGAGCTAAAGCCCTCTGTAATCACAACTGAAGCAAGACATGGTCTCCGCTTCCAGGCTGGAGTTTTGCCCAGGGCTCAGTGCTATCAACTCCCATGGTCATTTGCACCCACTCCCCTGCATCTATTTTCTTAAAAGCCTCAAACAGATGAGGTGTGCTTAGCTAGGAATGTCTGGGCCTTGGTTCAAGCTCAGTGTGCTTTTAGTCTCTTGAGTTGGCCGCAAAAAAAAACCCAAACCTGAACAGAGACTCCTCATGAACCCCACAGAGCCAAGAAAGAGGTGGCAAAGAATAAAATGTCCCCGATTTCTGTTGGAATTCTTTGAAAAGAAAAGCTAGCAGCAATCTTTCAAATCCTTGGAGGCAGCAGCACTGCCCACACCCCTCAGAGGCAGCCAGGTCACAGCAATGGCCAGGATTACTCCTTGCAAACCCAGCCAGGAGCAGGGCAGGGGTCAGTACATCTGCAACAAATCTCAAGCTCTGTGCTTGGCTGGAGCATTGCCGTCCTCCTCTACCTCTCACAGGGGCTGCAGATGGGACCTACCTGCCACAGGGGCTTCAGAGCACACTGGCTTTGTCCTGCCCTTGTTCCTTCGCTGCAAACTCCATCCCTGGGGGAGCAGGGAGCCCCCAGGCCAAGGCTAACGCTGCCTCTCGCCCTCTGCTCAGCACAAAGCCAGCTCCCAGCCTCCTTGCATCATCCCTTTTGCTTATTTCCATGACCCCGTCATGGTGGCAGAGTGGGGCCCAGTTAAGCGTTCCCAGCTAAGGTCTAATCCCTCTGGCTATTTTTAAAATCCCCATACCTCATTCCAGTCCTTTGTACCCAAATGCGGAACAAAGGATGAGCCCTCCTTCCCCCGACCCCCCCGCCCCAGCGCAGAGGGGCCGCTCTCGCCTCAGCCTCTTGGCCCTACCAATTTCTTGGTGTGACAAATGGGCTGGACAAAAGGCAACAGCCCCGTCCCCGAGGGGACAGAGCAGCAGAGCCAGCAGAGTCTGGGGATTTGCCCCGGCTGCATGGGCAGCTGCTTCATCTCCAGAGCATCCTCTCCCCATGTGCATCCATACTCCAGCCTGCTTTCCCCCCACACACACACCCTGCATCACACTTGTCACAGGAGTGCAGTGCTCCCGCTGAGCGGGGAGGGCAGGGCTCTCCCCGTTTTCTGCTGCAGAGAGAGGAATGTGAGAGCAAGGTATAAATATCCGCCAAGATTAGTGCTTGCCCAGCACTCTGCCCCGGGAGAAAGTGTTGGGTGTCACCCACAGCCCGCATTCCCTTCCTTCTCCGCTCCCCGCCTGCCTCTCCCGTTTCCAGCCCCGGGTTCACAATCTCCGCAGCCAGCACTTTCATTTCATTCCACCCTCCACCCCCGTTCTCTCTTGAAAGGGAGAAAATAATAGAGCCTTTGTCAGCGGCTGCGGTGCAGGAACCCGGACAAGGAGCTGCACAGGGGTAAGGGGCTGCCGGGCACGGCCGCCTGCTGGGATTATGGCATTCCTGTGCCTTCGGCTCAGGAGAAGTCAATCCTACACCCCGTGGCATGTAAAGGGACCCTGGGCTTGCTGACATCCACAGAAAAAGCAGCCAAAAGAAAAAAAAAAATAAAATCCTCCACACCCACACTGCCGGCTTCCCCCGCTTTTATGTAAATTAATATTAATAGGTCCTCGAGTTTGGTTTCTGTACAGATATATACAAATAGGAAATAGTTTCGTATTTACATCATTAAGTTAATTAGGCTCTATAAAAAAAAAGAAAAAAAAAAGAACAGCTTTCCAAATTAGTGTCGTATGTACAGACAGCAGAGGTGAGCTCACGTCCTTGGCGCGGTCACATTGACAGTGTAATGTACACTAACCATTACCCCCGGTCCTACAGGCGGTCAGCCCCACGCGGGCCAAGCACAAGTGTTAATAATCAGCAAAAAAATCCCAGCTCCAGGATTCTTCTGGTCTCCAGGACCCGGCAGGGAATAGTGCTTGTTTCTCAGGAGGCACACAAGTACCACAGGGTCAATTCGTGTGTAATGTACACTACCAGCGCTCTGTGGATCCCATGGAAGGCACAAGACCGGCACAGATCTCGTGTTGGGAGTCGGTGGATGCTCTGCACGGCTTCTCCCCGGTGCTCCTCGACGGGGCACACCTACAGCGACACGAGGCTGGTCCATCTCCAGAGGGATCAGGTCCTTTGGAGAACCCCCAGTGTGAGCGGATGGAGCCAGCCCAGGGGTCACACGATGCTGGCCAGTTCTGTGTTGTCCGACTCCGAGCTGCTGTTGCTCTCCTCCCTGAGGGCAAAGGGTTTGGGGATGAGGCACGGAGTGAGGCACCCGGTGTGAGCGGATGGAGCCAGCCCAGGGGTCACACGATGCTGGCCAGTTCTGTGTTGTCCGACTCCGAGCTGCTGTTGCTCTCCTCCCTGAGGGCAAAGAGTTGGGGATGAGGCATGGAGTGAGGCATGGAGCAAGCCCTGCCTCCAAGCAGCCCTCTGCCTCGGAGCACAAGAGCCTCCGAAGGGTTTGAGAGGGACGTCACCGCCTCGCACGGTCCCCAAACGAGTTTTCTTTAGCAACTGGGGCGGGTTCCCCACTGATCTCAAACGCTTCACGCCATCTCTTTGGAAGTTGGGATTGGGAAAATAAGTCAGCCCTTCCCTCACCTCACCACCCACGGGTTCTGGAGGATTCTTGGACAAGTCACAGTGTGTCCCAACCCGTCTGGGCCTGATCCTGCCCCCTCCCACCAGCTTGCTGTGCTTGCTACCTCCACAGCACATGCTAACACTCACCTTAAGTCCTGCAGGGCTTTCTTGTTCTTCCTCCGCTTCTCCTCGTCAATGGGGTACAGCTTGAAGAGGAGCAGGCCCAGCAGGATCAGCCCCACAGGCATGGCCGACACCAGCATCTTCAGGGTGAAGTTCACTTCGTTGGGCTGAGAGCAGCCCCGGGTCTGGTACCCTGCAAAGCTACAGACAAAAAAGGACCTTC